CAGACAGATAGCAACCATAATTACCAGCTTGTACAAATTAAACCGTGGTTTGTTCTGTTCTTCTTCTCCTGCCTTCGCTGCCCAGAGCTCCTGCTAATCATGTTCTTGCTGCCAGTGGCACGCCAGTCCCCCAGGGTGATTGCTGCACATGCCTTCAGAAAGCCTGTGCTGGTGCCTGGTGCTGGGATGGTGTTTGGGATGAGGCTGCACGTGGAAACACGCCAGCCTTGCCTGGTGGGGTTCTTGTGCCAGGGGCTCAGTGCTGGTAAGCCCCTGTGAACCCCTTGGGGCTGCTGTGCATGATGCTCCTTGGGACCAGCCCTGCAGTTTCCCCTCCATCTCTCCTGGGGTTTGCAGTCTCTTAGCAAAGCAGGGGGGTTTCTCACTTAGGAGCAGCACAAGCACTTGGATAGTGGCCACAGGAGCCCAGGCTGGAGCTTTCAGCCTGCCCGGTGCTGTCGGTGCTTCCCTACCAGCACATAGGCCATAAACCATCTGCATTAAGTGCAAGGGAGCATCGTTGGGAAGGATAAGGTCAGGCCACCCTCATTTCCTCCTTGATCCCATGGGACAGCCAGAAAGGCTGGTTCCTCTGGAATCCAGCAAAGGTCAGCCAGCCCCACTGCTCACAGGCAGGCAGCGGATGTGCATTGACAATGCAGCCTGCTCTGCTGGGTTTAATGTGTTGGCTCTGCTCCCCTGCTTGCTCCTGGCAGCACCACAGGCAGTTTGGCTGCTCAGGTGTATCTGTTTCCTCTCTGTCCTTATGCTTTAATGAGGGATTCCAGGGAGTCGGAAAGGAAAATGGAACAGGTCAGTTCCTCTGGTCCCCATAAGTGAAATAAGGGTAACGTCAGGTTTCCTGCCCTTTCATCGGGTTGGGAGCTAGCAGGGGCACGTCTACCCTGATGGGAGATGCTCACATGGAGCCACCAAAGCTCTGAGTCCGGGTTCTCCTGTCCCAGCACCCACAGGAGGATGTACCCATGGCCAGGAGAGGCCAGACTGGAGCAGGAAGTTAAAAGGTTTACCCAGGTTTGTTTTGTCTGAAGGGTTTTTCTAAGTTAGGATTGGAGCATCCAGGGCTCATCCTATGCATGTGCATCCTCTTGGGATGCGCCCCATCCCGTATCCCACACTGGGATAGTTTTTCCTCTGGACTTTTAATGGCATTTCTGACTTTTGGGTCCCTCAGCAGGCTGCTTCCCAGACCCCATGTGATGGGGCAAACCCCTTCATGCTGGCAAATACTGTGAGACAGGAATGGTGAAGGTAAAACCTATTCAGTCATCATTTCTTCAGCCCGTCATTGGGAACTGAACGTAAGTGGGCTGAGCATCTCCTCTGTCCTGCTGCCTGGAGAGCTGGGAAGCAGCCATTCACCTCAACCCTCCCTCAGTTTCCCTTGGATTGAAGGAAGCTGCTGATCCATCCCAGCCTCCCAGGCATGCCACAGGGATAAACAGCACCCGCATGGTCTTCAGATACAATGGTGATGGGGCACCGTGAGGACGTGGACCAGCTGATGAGCATCGAGATGCAAAACATCCCTCAGACCCGAGCCTTGGGGCTATCTGGTTGCATTCCCCATCTCTGGGGTGAGTCAGATATAGAACTGGAGTGATGTGGAACAGCACAAAGTCTCTGTTTCAGAGCTGGGGTTGAGCAAATGAAAACGCAGCGTGTTCCAAAGGCAGCTTCCCTGGATGGCAGACAAAAAGAATCAATTTCCTTGAAGCAAACACTAAATGTTAATGAGAGGCGATGGTCTGGCGTGCACACAGGGCTGTAAAGAGCAATTCCCATTGATCAGCTACAGAGACAGGTTTGTGGGTTGAAATTGCTTGTTTGTGGCCCTTCTCGAGGTGCTTTGGGAAGGTTTTCCTGCCCCAAATAGAGCGACCTGAGAGCACGTCCATTCTGCATCAGAGCAGGCACTGGGAATGCGTGCTGGTGCTTTCGTTGCTGCTTATGCGTTTGCCTGAGCAGTTGGGGAGATGGATCCAGAAATCAGCCCTGGATTTATGTCAGGAAGGAGGCGATTCCTTGGGAATATCAGGCCCTAACAAGCACTGACCCAGCCTGCCAAAGGCAGAACATGGGGCCCAGGAGCACTCGCTGGCTTTGCAGCCACATCCTCCCATTGATTTATTCCAGTAACGAGCACTGAGAGGGATGTTAAGAACATTGCTCGCAGCCCTCACCGAGTATCCTAAAGTGAAAGCAGAGGGCTGGGAGCTTTGGAAAAGGAGCCTTGATGTTTTCCTATCGCTTCGACCCTTGGGTAAGTGAGGGAAGTTTGTATTAACTCCGTTTCCAGACTTAAGAGATCAGCAGGAAAGCAAGAATACTCCCTTCTCTCCATCAGCAGGACATGCAGCTGTGGTGGGGGGCTCTTTCTGCCTGGTGCTGTGCTCACCCACGGGCAGCACGGTGCTGGCCTTGGCTGGGAGGGCAAACAGCACACTGGGAATGGCTGCAGCCTTTCCTGGGAGTCTGCCAGTCTCAGCCCTGCATTTTGCATCCAGCATCATAGAACCATTCACAGCCTGGTTTGGGTTGGAAGGGACTTAAAGCTCATCCAGCTCCAAGCAGGGACACCTTCCACTAGAGCAGCTTGCTCCAAGCCCCTGTGTCCTTGAACACTGCCAGGGATGGGGCAGCCACAGCTCCTCTGGGCACCCTGTGCCAGCGCCTCAGCACCCTCATCCATCCGAAGATCTCACCTCAATCTATCCTGCAGTAAATAACAACACATTGCATGAAACCATGAAGGCAGCTGTGGGGGGAACAAGAGCTAATATTAGCTAGAAATGACTAAAATTAGAACGTAGCCAGAACTAATTAGCTGTTGGAGGAACAGACCCAGACCCGGAACAAGTTAATTGGTATTGAAGTACCACCAGGGGGGCCTGGCGGGTGCTGCTGCTTCCAGCCCCATACAGGCTCCTGCTCTGCTTTGCTTGGGATGGCTCCCACATGGGCTCGGGAAGGAGCCTGGGGTCCCATCTGAAGGCTTTGGCAGTTAAATACAAGTCGGATCATGGTCCCAGGTGGGGAGTTGGCAGCAGCAGGATGCAGCATTAGCTGGGATGCGCTGGGAGTGATCCCGACGCATCCCTTTGTCCCACCGCTGCCCAGATGTGCCTTTCTAAAGGCGAGGGTAATTATGAGGCTCTGATCCCAGCAGCATTCCCTTCTCTTTCAGCTTCAGCCCTGAGCTGCTTTGTGAAGCTCTCCACACAAGCCAGGAGCTGCCATTCACCCCCCAGGATCATATCCAAGGAATTAGGGACTTGGTAGGGATAACTGCGGTTTTCTCTCTGTGCCTCAAGTCACCTGTATGGTCACTTCTCTTTTACTTCCCAAAGGTGGCAACTCACCCTTATATTTCCTTCCCCCCTGCCCCAGCACTCAAACAGCAGCTCCTGTTTTAGCACCAGCATGACGCACGGCGCTTTAAATTCAATTTAGCATACAAACTATTTATACCAGCCAGGAAAAGGCAGCGGAGCAGCTCTCCCTGTCATGAGTGGATCTGTAATTTCAGAGCAATCATTGCATAACTAATTGAATCAGCTCTCAGCATGTGAAATCAGTGCCCTGCTTATCATAGGTTCGCATCGTTCTCCCCTCCTTGAAGCCAGCAGTTCCCCCTCCACCAGCAGCGCTTTGTGCTTCTCCATCAGCCTAGGAAGGAAGCAGGACCTGCAAAACTGCCTTTCTCTGCTCCAACAGAGCCAATAGATGAGCAAATGCATTCAGAGCACATCAATAGCTGGGTTGCAAGTGCCTCCCCCCAGTGCTGCCTGGGCTCCATGTGATGGAGTGAAGTGCATTTAAAGCTAATGAAGTGCCCGCCGTGTCTGAGAAGCAAATTGGTGGTGAGCTGTTCTGCTGACTCCCACCTCCCTCTTCATTGCCCAGGTGTGCTCTGCTTGGCTTGAACTCAGGGGCCGATGCAAACCCCAGGCTTGGTGCCTGAAAATGGAGCCTAAAAGAGGTCATAAATGCAGTGACAGCTTTCTGAGGGATGCAGGCAAGGTGGGAAAGAGGAGCTGTAAGGATTGCCATCAGCTTGGGAGTGAGGGTCCTGGATCTGATGGCTTGGGTGGATCCAGCCCTATAGATTTTGGGAGCAGCTCCAACCACCTCCATGCAGCAGCCTCCCAGAGGGAGAGCAAGGTGCTTTGGGCAGGGACCCATCAGCACAACACAGAGCTCACAATTGCATCCAAAGCGTGCTGTGAAGGATGCTAATGCCTCCCTGGAGATGCTGCCTGCACACATGTGAGCTCTGGGCTGTCACTGATGTGCTTTATGGGTTGTAATGAGCCAGGCATGTGGGGATGTGTGGGGAGTGCAGATGGGTCCTTAATGGCTGCAATTGCTGAGTGCTAACAAAGGGCAGCTGGTTCAGCCTGAACAAATGGAAGCAGCTCTCAGGCAGAGCTGGTATATCTTGTCTGGGGAGAGCTTGCAAGCTTCTTTGGACGTGCACGGGTTGTTCCTGGCAGGTATGATCCCTAAGGCTGGATGGAGGAGATGACAGAGCCCAGAAGGTGAGAGCTGAGTGTTCCTGCCATCCATCCCCTGCTTAGGGATCTGTTTTCCTTCCAGGAGAGCAATGCTAGGCTCTATGGCAGGGGCTTTGATGGCCTGGGGATAGTCTTAGCAGTATTCTCAGGCATGTTGTCCAAGCTTTGTGGTCCCCAGAACTGATGTGTAGTGTGGTTTGGGGATTATTCTATGAGCCTGTGCCTTAGTGCTGCTGGCAAGCCTGGTATGCAAGGGCATATGCAGTGCAAGCAGGGGCTGGCATGGGTAGGGGAAGGAGCTTTCATTGTCAGGTTTGGTTTAAGCTATGTCCCATCAGTGACCTATGCTTGCTTCCTGCATAAAGCTCCATAAATGGTGTTTTCCACTCCATATGGGGTCAAGGCTTTGGGATGTGCCCGTGTCCCTCCATCCACCCTCTTTGTTTTCTGTTGTCTCTCCAGGTAGCCAGATGGGAGCACAACACACGAGCGCTCAGCCGAGTCTTTGGCTCTCCCCACGCTGCCTGCTACTGCCTGGGTGCTGTTATCCTGCTGCTTAACTGTGTGCGGAGCCATTGGTAAGGAGCTAGCCCTACATGCAAAGCAGTGCCCCTCCAGGGCTTGGGAGGGGTGAGGGATGTTTGCTCTGCAGCACTGGGATGCAGCCCCAGTGTGTTGGTGCTACATGGTTGGATTCCTTCAGCCAGCAGCAGATCTGTCCCAGGATTTGTAGCAAAGAGCATTGTGTGCAGTTCTGGTGTCCTCAAGGTAAAAAGGACATGGAACTGTTGGAACAAGTCCAGAGGAGGCCACGAGGATGATCAGGGGCTGGAGCACCTCCTGTATGGAGACAGGCTGAGAAAGTTGGGGCTGTTCAGCCTGGAGAAGAGAAGGCTGCGTGGAGACCTCAGAGCAGCCTTCCAGTATCTGAAGGGGGCTATAGGGATGCTGGGGAGGGACTCTTCATTAGGGACTGTAGTGACAGGACAAGGGGTAATGGGTTAAAACTTAAGCAGGGGAAGTTTAGATTGGATATAAGGAAGAAGTTCTTTATTGTAAGGATGCTGAGGCACTGGAATGGGTTGCCCAGGGAAGCTGTGAATGCTCCATCCCTGGCAGTGTTCAAGGCCAGGTTGGACGAAGCCTTGGGTGCCATGGTTTAGTGTGAGGTGTCCCTGCCCATGGCAGGGGGTTGGAACTGGATGATCTTAAGGCCCTTTCCAACCCAAACCATTCTATCATTCTGTGATGCGACAGAGTGGCCAAACCCATCTGTGTCGACAGCTACTGAGTGCTGCAGGTTTCCCTGCTTTGCTCTCTGGGGTGGTTTCTCCAGCCAAGGTGAGAGCAGGGCTGTTTGTAACAGCATGGATCAACCAGAGCAGCAGAAACTCTTCATTTTCCCCTAAACCAAATCAAACCTGTTTATAAGAAGCTGCAATTTCCTGTGTAGAAGAGCAGGATTATGTGTGTGCTTAGCAAGCCCTGTCTCCAAACTCTTTATCTATGATCTCTTTAAATACTACCTGTGCTAGCTAATAGCATTGTGTGCCTGATACAGCAGGGGAATAGGTCCTTTGACATCCTGAGTGCAGCAGAGAGGTTTCACTGCAGAAGCTTTCCTCAGTGCAAGCCATTTATCAGCGATCCAGTAGGCTTTATCCTCAGTGCTGTTAGGAGAAGCAGGCTGTATCCCTGAATTCCCAGATCCAATTATGCCAGGGTCAGAGCTCATGGGTCTCTCAGTGCTTTGGGTGGTTTCCCAGGCGCACATATCTCAGGTTGGAGTTTGCACATGTATTTAAGAGCTTTGCCTTCCTGGAAGTGACCCCAAGACCTGTGTTTGCCCCTGACAGCTTATAGGACATCCTGTAGGAAGGCTTGCAGTGAATAGGGCTGTAATGGAACGCAGGCAATGCAGAGGGCATGTGTGTGTGATGCTGATGGCTGAGGGACACAGCAGGCTTGGGAATGTCTTGGCAGTCTCTTGTATGTATTACACAGTCACTTGTTGTGTGGGAAGCCAATGCAAAGCCTTATGGCTGCCTTTAAAAGCCCAGCTGATGGAGGGGACAGCCTCAGCTCCCAGTGGTCCTGCTGGCTCCTGGCTCACAGCAAGGCCCTGATCAGAGCTGCTGAGAGAGCCAAAGAGACCTCATTTGTCCCAGCACTGCACCATGCTTTCCCCCTGCAGACCCTTCAGTGCTCTACCAGCCCCAGCATCACTGCCTGTGCTCTATGTCATGAGCTTGTGAGTGCTCTGGGGGTGCACAGACCCTGAAGGAAACCACAAGATCAGCCCAGGGGGGCTGGAAAAGCTCCTTTTGGACCCTGGATTTGGAGGAGAGGCTCTAGAAGATGGGGCAGTTCACCCCAGCGGGACACGGATGAGATGCCAGCCCACACCAATGGGCCGAGGCCAGATGATAGCAATGGGAAGGTTTGTTTTGCCCAGGTGTTTTGGCATGGTTGGGTTATTCCCTTGGCACTGCAGTTGGCCTGAGTGGTGGCTAGCAGGCTTTGGATGCTGTCCAAGCAAAGCAAGCCCTTAACAGTGGGAGTGATGGGATGGTTTTAGGATGGTCACCAAGTGCTGCAGTTGCCCTGAGGTGCACATGGCAGACTCGCTGCCTCCATTCCCATCTCAGTCCACCCTCCAGAGCTGCCCAAGGCTTAATACTCAAGCTTTGAGAGGGTGTGCTGTTTGGGAAGGATTCATCGTGCCCTTGGGGTTTGGCTGGCCAGAGGGGGTTCACTGATCATACAGCATGGGCACTGTTGTCTCAGTGGCCAGCGATTCCCGGAGGGATGTGTCTTACCCATTCCTGCTATTTTTCCCTTTAATTCCCAAGTCTCTTGTACTGGAGCACATGGATGTGGGCAGGTTTTCCACCCCTCAGCCCCACAGGGGCACAGGCTATGCCCTGCACTTTGACTGCCCATGGTGGTAGGTGTCGATTGCGCAGAGCTGGCTGCTGCTAGCAATCAAAAAGGCCACCTCGGGGGGTCCCTGCGCCCCCAGTGCTGTAATCCAACCTTTAAAGCTCCTCTCTGCGTGCTCTGGGGACCTTTTATGTGTGTGTGGGCTGCCAAGGAGCAATTGAGGAGCTGCAGGATGTCTCTAGGGTTTAAAAAGCAGCATCCTTTTTGCAGCTCTAGCTTGAAAGGCTCCAAGCTGGGGGCAGAGGAGGAGAGGGCAGAGCAGAGAGCAACACTGTGAGAGGGTTGGCATCGGGGCTGAAAGCATCCAGGACCTGTGTGGCTGCTTCACTGCATGCCCCATGCAGGGATGCCTGCGTGGTCCTGCCCCCAGTGCAGCACCGTGATGCTCTCGTGTGAGCTTTGCTCCAAAGGGTGGAAGGGGAGGGATGTCTTGTGCTCAATTAAGCAATTAGGTGTTTCCCAGCTCAGAGCTTCATTATCAGGCTTGGCTGGCTTCTGAGAAGCAATCCAGAATGACCTGTGACCAGTGGGGACCTGCTTAGTCAATGGCACAGGACGAGCATCCTTAATTGCTTTGGTGCAGTGATTGTTTCCCTTACAGCCCTGTTCTCTAAGCAAGGAGCAGGGAACTTCCATCACTGGAGCTCTTATCTATGAAAACAATTCCTGAACTTTTGAACTGTTTGCACTGTGAGCGCTACCCCAATGGTTTATGAGCATTATCTGGGTGACATGGGACATGACAGCCTTCACTGGCCTCCAGCGTGGCTCTCTCCTGCCTTACCATGTCATTGATACCTTTCCCTGCAGGAGCTGTACAATGAGCTCCCTCCAGACCCTCCTGTGCTCCCTTTTGCACATCCTGGCCAAGTCCCCATACTGGGACTCACCTTTAGGTTTTGGGACCTTATGAACTTCTCACTTGAAGGGTTTTGGGGTGTTTGAGCTGTGAAAGTAATGGGGGGCTTGCTGATGTCTTGGGGTACCTGGGGCCAACTCAACTGACATGAAATCCTTTATTGATGCCACCCACTGGTTATTGCCTTTGCCATGGGAGGGCTTCTTGCTTGGAGCTGATGCTTCCAAGGAAATGAATCCACCCTGAGATGGGATTTTGCATAGGGAAGGGGTTGTTTGTCATTGCCTGGTAGTGCCTCTCAGCTTTACGCTCAATGGTACCGTGAAATAAGCATGGTGTAAATGGTATTGATCCAAGAGCCGCAGGGCTTTTTGTGCACAAGTGATTGAGTTCAGTGATGGAAATGAAGCCTGAAGGAGCTGATGTCCCCTGTGAGCCACCTCTGATGGCTGTCCGGGAAGAGCCCCATGAGTCCAACAGCACCTCCTCTTCCCACCGGCACCACACCAGGCATCGGGATGAGGAAGAACAGGAAGCTGAGATGCAAGGTAGGAGGGGAGGCTGCCACAGCCCTAAGCTTGACCTAAATAACACACAGACACACACACACTGGTGCTGGTGCTGGCAGAAAAGCAAAGTCATTATTGGCAGCAGAAGCTGTGAAGATGATGACCAAGCTGACAATTGCCGGTGGTACCCGCAGGGTGGTTTGAGTGGTGCTGGGGTTGCTTTTCACAGATAAACAAGCCCTTTTGTTGCAGCCTGTGCTGCTGGGCACCGCTGGATGGTTTTACCTCCGTTGCCTCCTTATTGCTGAGAGGAACAAAACCTTAAGTGGAGGGGGGGGAATGGACTGACATCCCACATGGGGAGCGTGGCACTGCTCACTGAAACCCCAGCCACATCCATCACCACTGCTTCCTCGCTGCCCGCCGGCTCCTGGCCCAATTCTGCCTCAGTTGTTATTTGCCAGCCCCAGTTTCCAGGCTGATTTTGGGGATTAGGCAAAGGGAGCACCGCTGGGCTGATCCCAGCAGCGACCCAGTTTGCTGCATGAGGTCTTTGCCCTCCTCTGTGGGAAAGGGATGACAAAATAGGCTAGAAAACTCAGCTTCTTTGTGTTTCCATGTTTGGTTTACGTTCGATGCAGCCTTTGGGGATGTATTTTGGGCTGCAGGTTTGGTAAGTTTTCTGGTGGTGTAATTCCTGTTGTCTGGTTGAATAAACCAGTGCATGTCCTCCCTGTGTCCTAGTAAGAGGACCTACAGCCCATTTTCCTCACTCCCACCTTCTTCCTGCGTGACATCTCCATCCCTGTCCTTCAGGACCGTTTTGAGTGTTTCTTCCGGCTCATGTGGTTTATTATGTGGTAAATTAAAAGAGATTCAGATGAGACAAGGAAGAAACTCTTTATGATGAGGATGGGGAAACACCAGATCAGGTTGCACAGGGAGGTGGTAAATGGTCCATACGTGGAAACGTCCATGGTCAGGTTGGATGGGGCTCTGAGCTGCATGGTGTAGTTGAGGATGTCCTTGCTAGTTGCAGGGGGTTGGACTAGGTGACTTTTACAGGTCCCTTCCAACCAAAAGGGGTAAGAAAGGAAGAGGTGATGCATGCATAGTGATGGCTGAGTGTCTGAGCAAGCGCATCTCTGTTTTGGGAAGGGTGGGCAGAACATTGCCCACTGCCTTGGCTTCCCCATGCACCGCCTTGCTGCATGCTGTGTCAGTTGTGCAACCACCTGGCTGCTCTCGTGCTGCTGGGAATTGGCCAAATACACCGATTTGGCTAGGGCAGCGCTGATGGATTTGGGCTGGGGTGGAGAATGGACACCTCTGGTGTCACACTTCACATTGGCAAGATGGGGAGATGCCAGGGGAAGCCTTGTTTCCCCCATTTCCATTTGCTGAAGGCACCTTCCAGTCCCCCCTTTCCCCACTGCCAGATGTCCTCGTGATAGCAGCCAGGGATGCGCTTAAAGTAGGTCGCATCCTACCCAGCCCTCGCTGCGCTGGGAAGAGGGATGCTCCTCACCATGGCAATGGCTGTGTTCAGCGCATAAAGCATTTCCAGGTACTGGGACAAAGCACGGCTTTAATTGGTGTCCTCTTGGGTGCCTTATCCTGCAGCCAGAAATAAATGCTGTGACAAACGTGATTCAGAGGCACATGGTGGAAGGGACTGGTTTCCTGACAGATTGCCTGCATGAGCAGCTCCCTTAGCGAGGGAGATGGCCAACACCTTGTCCTCCCCCTGCCAGGGAGGGTGAGATGTTCCCCCGCCACCAAGGAGCAGTGGAGGATGCTGGAATAATTGATGGCTCCGTGCTGCTTGTCATGGCCCAGCATCACAAATGCTTGCAAGGTTTATTTACCAAGACTCCTGCGCGCATCATGTTTAATGCAAATAGAGAGTGTGTTTAGGAAGATATAAAACATTACTAGAGGGAAAGGCAGTCCATTATCTCCGTGCAAACACCTCCCTCTCTAGCTGTAAGCCGAACAGCAGGGGACCGAACAAGACATGCTGATGAGAATAACTAATGCAGACCTATCCGACCATGAAAGGGAAGGATGGGATCATCTGGAACAGGGGAGACGGCTTTGCCAAAACAAACCACGTCATGTGCTGCTTGCAGAACCTCGGAGGCTGATGTGCAGACAACCAGTTCCTGCTCTTGAAGCCACCTTTGTTCTTCTCGTGCTCTGAGGCCAAGTCAGGTCACTGGTATAGGGTAGGGCAGCCTCAAGGAGGTGAGGGTAAGCAGCCTCTGAGTGCTGTGATGTCGCTGTATCTCTCTCCTCTGACATCCCTTTGCTGGGAGCTGGGATCCAGGGACCAGCTCATTGCTGCTTTCCCTGCCTCCCCAAGGGATTATCAGCAGTGGGTTTTAATTGCTGTGAGAGCCCTTCCCTGTGCTGGTGCCCTGTGGGGGGGATTGGGAGTCCTGGCCAGATGCAGAATCAAAGCCCCAGTGCTGTGAAAAGGCATTAGCATCATCTTTTATGGGAGCAGATTGCTCCAGAGCATCCCTGGGGATGCTGTGAGAGCTCAGCCAGGCCAGCACTGCTCAGGCAGATGGTCACATCCCTGCAGAGTTGCTTTCCTCCCAAACCCAAGCATCACTGGTGGCAGGGATGTGGATTTGGGCTTCCTCACAGAGGAGACTTGTGCCACTTCAAAACAAACAGCGGGGAGATGATGTAAAGGGTTGTGCAGCTGCTGCTGCTTCATCTTCCAGTTGGATTTGTGTGTTCCCATCAGGAATGGTTTCGAGCCAAACCAACGGGAGCCTGGTGAGCGCAGGGAGGTGTGATGGGTGCTGGAGGAGGGCCAGCCCCAGGGACATGGGCCTGTGCTCAGCTCCCTGGAAACGGGAATTTCCCAGTGATTTCCAGAGTGTAAATCACCCAGGCTGTGTTCCTGCTCACTCCCAAGCACCTTACGTTTACTCTGTGTTTGGTTTTCCTTGCTCCAGCCCAAAGCAAAGATTAAACAGCTTGCTCCAAGATCCTAAAACTTCCCCAGCAATAGAAAATCGAGTGGGAATGAGCTCTAAGGAAAACACCATCCAGGTCCCTAAGCCATGGGGTTGAAATCATCCTGACCTTTGCTTGCTGTATGTAACCTTTGAGCCTTCAAAAGGTGCGTTTGTCCATCACCCAGGCAGGCACTCTCCCTCTCAGCTTTCATGTGGCCAATAGAGAAAATCCAGGGATTTGCTGGGCATTAGAGGGGGAAAAACTATCCCAAGCCCTGCAGGTAACATCATGGAAGCGTTTTCCATCCAAGGAGCCCGGGAGCAGCTCTCATTGCCTGTGCAGTGGTTGGAGGTGCAGCAGCTCTGTTATTCCACTCGAATCTCAGCCTCCTGGGTGCTCATTAAAGAGAGGCTCCAAGTTTCCTAGCTCATGTGTCAGCAGCGTGTGGAGAAGCACTGTGTGCAGCTCTGCGGGGCCGGTACCTCCTCCCCCTGTTAGTAATGGGCATTCTTAATCACAGCAGTGTCTCCTTTGTAGTCATCCGTTCGCATGCGGGATGCTGAGCCCTGCTGCAGGCAAAGTTCAAGGGGCTGAAAGGAGAACGGGGGTCACGATTGCTCCACTCCCAAAGGAGTGTTTGGAAGGTGAGGGCTGAGGTGCCTGCACAAGCCTGGAGTTGAGGAGCTGCCTTCTCACTTGGGAATGTGCTTCCCTAGTGTTTTCCTATCGCCGTTCCAGTCCTCCCCCTGATGCATCAGGCTGCAGCCATGAATCACTCCTGGGCACGTGGGGAGCACGTGAACCCTGCAGAATATATGGATGGAGAGGAACGGGGGTGGGAGCACGAGATAACCCAACCAATTGTTCCCAGCTCTTCCAAGTCCCGTGCCCAGGCATCCCAGCCTCCAGCATTGGCAAGGGGGTCTTTCCAGAGCTTCTGGTCATGATGAAAGCTGGGGTTTGGTGAGCAAGGCAAAGCAGTTCAGTTTGGTTGGTATTTGACAGCAGTGAGCAAGGGTTGCAGGTAGAAAGAGCAGCCTCAGGTCAAGCCCTGGCTGCTCCCAAGGCTTTGGCTCCTTGCTTCTCCCATTGGGAGGTTGAGTAGGTGCAGAGACCTGGTGAAGCATCCTCCTCGGCAGCATCCTCTCCCAAAGCTCCCAGGGAGAGGTGGGTGATGTTAGTAATGAGCTGCTGGTTTTAACAGCCCTTTTTGTCTCCCTAACAGCTTCACAGAAGCCATGAAGAGCCAACCAAAACTGGAGGGCTTGGACTGCCACTGGGCCTATTACTTGGGCTTGGCCATCTTGGCTGTAGGGACCTTGTTTGTCATCAGCAGCTTCTTAGCACTGGGATTCACTGGGACATTCCTAGGTAAGCACTAAAACCTCATCAGCTTAAGCAGAAAGTGTGTTTAATCCTTGCAGGGGTTGTTTGGTAGGGCAAAGTGCTTAATTCCCTCACTCGTGCCTTCAGGGCTCTTAGTTTTGGTCTTGGCTTTATGATACCAAAGCGTGATCTAACCATGCCATTACTGGCTTTATACAGTGACACATACCCAGGAGCAGGACCTCATTTGCTGTTCCTTCTGCAGTAAACCTGCCGTTGGTTGACAGATTCTTTTATCTACCACTTAATGGCAAGAAGACACTTTCCACTGTGCCTGTTTCACATACAGAGTCATTCTGCTAGTGCTGTTGACTTTAAAACCATGCCAGTACGTGTGGAATTCATCAAAATAGAGACAGCAACAATAAATAGATGAGGAAAGGGGCAGCTCCCGCTGGCTCCAGTAACAACAGCCCCACTTTGACACTGCGTTTAGGCTGTGCTTTTGCAAGTGCTTTACAAGCCAAACTCAATTAGCTCCTGCAGCGGCAGCAGGAAGAAGGGAGGGAGGGAATGATCCTTCCTGGTTTCAGGTGGACCTGCAGAGAAACAGGGTGAGTTGGCCAAGGTCCTGCTGCCAGAAACCGAGCTCAGCGCTCCTGAATGCGTGTCCTCAGCCATCGGTTGTGCAGCCACTTGGTACGAGTGTCCCCCAGCTACCACTGGCATCCTCCACCTGCAACCCTCAAAGGAGTGATGCTATGCATGAGGATGTGTCCAGAGGGGCTGGGCACAGGAGTATCCACCAGCAAGAGCTGCTCTGATGCTCCTGAAGTCCAGCCAGGACTGGGCTTGTTTGCGTAAAGCCTGATTCATCCCACCAGGAGGATCCATTGGGCTTGAACCACTGGGAAAAGACAAACACAAGTGAGTCAGGCTCAGCGTAAGCAGGGAGAGTGGCTCTGTGCTCTGCCCTGCATGGCTGGTGGCTCCCATGGCCCCTGCAGCAGGGAAGGGGAAGGTGGCAGTGGTCCATACTGGGCACTGCTTCTTCATCCTCCCTTGCTCTCCCTGTCACCAGTGCACTGGGCTGGGGCTGCCTGGCTCCAAGCCTTGCATGACGCAGCAGGGAGTGAGGCCAGCTCTTTGTGCTAGCTGGGGCATGACGGCAGCAGGGCAGAGCTGAGTCAGGGTAGGGAGATGCCAAGACCCTGGCTGGCTTGGGATCTCTGTGCCACAGAGGCATGGCCAAGCTGGAGCCCCATAGAGCATCATCCTTGGACTGATAATGGCTTCCCAGCTCCGTGTAAGCCCCCACGAGTCCAAGTCAGCAAACTTTGGATGGAGAATGCTCTTCAGGATGGTTTCTTACCCAGACAAAGGGAAGACAAAGGGTGTGCAGGTATCCAAGGATCTCTGAAGATTCAAGGCTGGATGGGGCTTGGAGCAAGCTGCTCTAGTGGAAGGGGGGCAGAACTGGATGTGCTTTAAGGTCCCTTCCAACCATTGTGTGACTCCGTGATTCTGTGATCTTATATTGGATGTTCTCTTGTTCAGGCCTCCATTGGGACTGGTACTTCCAGTGTCTTCCCGCACACAGGGTGTTAGGGATGTGCTGGCACTGCAGGAGGAGCAGGGACCCCAGCAGTGATAGCCCTTCTGACTGCAGGTAGCAAAGAGCTGAGCTGCTTTGGCAAGAAGGGAGCATCCAGCTGCTTCTCCCAGTTGATACCTGAGCTCAAGAGAAGTTATGGGAGCACCTTGGACAGCCAAACTCTTCCAGACCTTACTGGAACAGCAGCTGACCCTTTCCTTCTGGGTTTTCCTACAGCAGTGAGGGCTGAACCAGGCCATCAGGGCTGCCTGTTACATCCCTCCTTAACAGCACATTTAAGCTTTGGGGAGGCTGCAGAGCCTTTGTCTCTTGAGTGTGGGCTAAACCATGCAGCAGGAGCCACGTTAGTCACAAACCTTTCTGTGCCACCCCATCTCCTGTGCAGCAGCACCGACCCCAGCCTCTGTTTGTGATGCCTGGATGCAGCCCTTCATCCCAGCAGCCTTCTCCTCTGCAGAGCAATGCTGCTGGTGTGCTGTCTCTGCACTGTGCCCTTACAGGGATTGTGCCCCATTTCCTGACAAACATGGGCTTGGCTTCCTGGAGGGCACTGAGAGGTGGCTCTGCCCGGCTGAGCCCATCTGTCTCACCTCCAAGCATGGTTTCTTCCAGTGCTGACTTGACCAAAGTCTGTTACTGGGTTATGGTGAAGCTGGTGGAGAAGCAGAGGTGATGCTTCAGCCCAGGTCCAGCTCTGGGTTCCTTGCAGAGTGCATCAAATGGCTTTTTGCTGCTGTCTACCCTGAGCAGTGAGGTGGTTGCACTCACCTCCAGCAAAGAATAACTCAAATGAGATGCCAAAGTCCCTCAGCCTGACAAGGAGCTGATTCCTGATTGAGGGCTTAACGGTGGCACAGACGATGCCCAGGCTGATGCTGCGTGCAAAGCAACACAACCCTTTCTTTCCCTGAATGTAAAAACATTGCAGGTCCTCTCTGGTGATTGTGTCCCTTGAATTGTGTGGGTTTACAGGTAGGGTTTGCATTGGAAAAGCTTGCGTCCTGGGGGAGCAGCCTGCTCTTGCTCGCAGGGAGCTTGCCCAGAGGATCCACAGCCCCACTGGTGCAGGGTACAGATGAGCCCCATGGATCCAGAGCTTTGTGCAGCCCTCTCCAGTGCTAGCATCATTTGAGGAGCGAGGCGTTCAGCCCAAAGGCGAGGGCAGGCAGGGGATAATGAAGCATTTTGACACATAAAAAAGCACAGAAATGGGCTGTGGCAGGGGGTGATGTGTTCTTTCTCCCGGAACAATCTCGGAGATGCATTGCCAAGTAACTGTGAGAACATATAGTATGAATACTAGGCAATTATCTCACTTAGTGGCCTGTAGTTAAAGCCCAAAAGCATTGTCTAATTGGGCAGGCGCTGTTTATTAAGGAGAAGAAATGTTTTTGCACCATGTGAGGTCAAAGAAATTACACCACGATCCAGGTAATAATAATAACCTTGAATAGTTTGCACTCTGTAATGCCTTTTATCTGGATTTCCAAGCACTTTCTCACCATACATTAATCCTCACCACCCTCTGCGCTATAAGAAAGACTGATATTATGATCGGTGCACAATAGCACTGGGAGGGATGGAGGAAATTTGCCCAAGGTCAGGGAACAGGCTGGCAGCAAACCTGGAACATGATCCAGGATGATGGCAGCTCCTGGGCTGATGCACTCCTCACCTGCATCTCGTACAATGGGCACGGAGCAAAGTCCTTTGTGGTCCTGCTTGTGGGACCAGCAGGAGTCAGAGATGCGCAACCCGGTCCTTTCTGTCCCCCCAAAATGCTGCTCCCAAGCTGCACAACATCTCCTCTTTTCCAGGCTCCTTTCAGGAGGGTGGAAGGATTGCTCTGAGGTAGGTAGGAAGCTGGTTGGGTGCTGACAGCTCTGAAAGCTTTCCTCATTACAGCTGACAATCCCCCATTATCATCATCATCATCGTGTCGATAATTGAGTGTTTTGTAGGCAGAGGTGCTATTTTTTGACATTCTGAGAAATCCTCTGCGCTGTGAGCAAAGGGTGACACTGAATGGGGGCATTTGGTGGTGGTGCTGGTCATAATTAGGGCATCTCAAGAGACCATTACAGCGCACTGGGTCTATTTCCCCATTAAATGGATTTGATCCCATGCACTTGCTTCCTCGTCAAGTGGCATCAGGCAGGCAGTTTTCAGATGAGAAAGCCAGAATCAGCCAGCTGGGACCTCGAGAGCTGCCTCCTGATGAGGGACGTGGCTGCCACAACCTCATTGCAATGCACAGAGCTCCCCATGGGCAAAGAGCCATTCCTGGAAGAGCTGATAGGCACAGAGCAAACAGCCAACCTGTTTGTTGCTGTTCCCTCAGCCTGGAAATCGGCAGCAAAACCCCTCCTTTGCCTTCACTCTGCATCCCTGGCAGGGATGCCCTGTGGCACAAGGAGGGTATCAGTGTGCCAGCACCCCCCCCTTGCACCTCCCAGCTCCATGATGCTTAACCAGAACCCCTCTGTTTGCTCTCTAGGTGATTACTTTGGCATCCTGATGGAGGCAAAAGTGACCAGCTTCCCCTTCAGCGTCCTGGATAACCCCATGTACTGGGGCAGCACAGCCGTCTACCTGGGCTGGTCTCTCATGTGAGTACATGCAAACACCACCGTGGGGTCTGTGCAGGGGCAGCATCAGGGGGATGGAGATGCACTTAGCGATGGCAGCCAGCAGCACCATGGCAGGGAAAGTGCCCCATGCCAGGACTCCTCACTTCCTGGCTATTTCTGTGCATGCAAAAGCTGCCGCTGCCATAAAAGACTCACAGCATTAATAGTAGGGAAACAAATAACAGCCAAGTGCTGAAAGGGGAAAGGAAGCATCAGCAAAGGCTCCGCAGCGCAGTGAGGTCCTTGGCAGGCTCTGCACGTGGAAAAACCAACAGGCAGGGCCAGAGTCATGCTGGGTGTCACTCAGCAGGGGCAGGGCACTGATAGTGGGGCTCAGGGAGGCCCTGTAATTACCTCTGGGAAAAGCAAAACAAGCCAACACACCCTTTCCCCCCACGGCATGGTGATAACGCTTCCGAAACACTCCTCATGTGATACAACACAGCTTAATAGCCTGCTTAGGAGGAAATGAATAGGCTGTAATTTAGCAGCAAATGAGCAATATATTCTGTTTGGTGTAACAAGTTTTATGTGGTTTTCATTTGATATCACATTTTATGTATTTGCCCAGGAGAAAAAACAAACCCTGGTTGTGTTCCCTTGGGAGGCTGTGGAGTGTAGTGGGCCCCTATCATAGAATCAGGGAATGGTTTGGGTTGGAAGGGACCTTAAAGCTCATCCAGTCCCAACCCCTCCCACGGACAGGGACACCTTCCACTAGAGCAGGTTGCTCCAACCTGGTCTTGAGCACTGCCAGGGATGGGGCAGCCACAGCTTCTCTGGGCACCCTGTGCCAGCGCCTCAGCACCCTCACAGGGAAGAATGGAATGGGGCAGAGCTGGGGCAGGACGAACTCCCCTTTACCACACCACAACCAGCACCAGCACCCTAAAACAGTGCAGAAGGAGGAATCAGACCAGGAGGAATTATAAAGTGAGTTTAAGATCAGCATCATATTATTTCCTAGAACCTTTCTGGAACCATCTGAGCTCTCCTGAGCTGTTTATGGCACAGAAATCTCCTCTTCACCCCCGCGAGAGAGCAGCCTTGCATGATGCTTGGTCTTCCACTGCAATCACGGGCAAAAGCATCTCGAGACAGCGTTGTGATTGCCTTCTTTTCCTCGTTCAAAGGCTGCCACAATAAAGGGCAGTGAGGCATGATCAATAGTTGCACTTGAATTGCTGGAGCTGTGCAAAGTGGCACCAGGACAGCCCTTCCCATGGTGTGGTTTGGAATCTCAGCTCATAGAATCACAGTTCCTGAGGTTGGAAAAGACCTTTAAGATCGCAGAGTCCACCCATTAACATAATACTGCCAGGGCCACCACCAAACCATGCCCCTAAGTGCCGCATCTACGTGTCTTTTAAACACCCCCAGGGATGGTGCCTCCACCACTGCCCTGGGGAGCCTGTTCCAATGCTTGACAACCCTCTGAGTGAATAAATTCTTCCTAATATCCACTCTAAACCTCCCCTGATGCAGCTTGAAGCCATTTCCTCTTGTCCTATCCCTTGTTACTTGGGAGAAAAGGCTGATTCCTCTTCGCTACATCCTCCTTTTGGGTAGCTGTAGAGAGCGTAAGGTCTCCCTCAGCCTTCTTTTCTCCATACTAAACTACCCCAGTTCCCTCAGCTGCTCCTCATAAGACTTGTGCCCAAGGGTCCATAAGACCCTTCACCAGCTCCATTATCCTTTGGACATGCTCCAGCTCAGGATGCTGAGGTTTATTGGGGAGTCCAGGTCTCTTCTGAGGTCCTGGAGCTCTCAGATGTTAGGTGCCCGAGCTGACGTCCCAGCTCCATGGCAGTGGGAAGGATGCTGAAGGAATGAGCCTGGTTCTGGTCAGACCTGCGACATAGAGCATATCTGTCCTCCTTTGGTGATGTATCACACTCGATATCGTACCATCAGAGCCCGAAGGATTGATTCATTTTCCTCCATAAGGGCACATAGCACAATACGTAAGCGAGCCTGGCAGCGCACCAGCCAGCCTGCCTTCCTACTCCGGTCCAGCCTTACAAGCATCTCATGGGGTGAGAGCAGCCGGTTTCTCCCTTGCAGGATGCTGCAGCTATCCCCAGCTCAACTAACTGCACCAAAACCATGCACTGGAGAAGGTCACCATGAAAACAAGAGCTCCAGGAGGAAAGGACAAAGCGGGTATCCCACATCCAATATCCAGGACCAGTAAGGCTGATGGGGAAGGATGCAAATCCCTCCCCTTGCTTTTACAGACAACCCGCAGCCCTGGGGAGCTGCAGCAGGATTGGGGACAGACTTCTTACCCCTAAAAAAGCCCTACTGAGGCCATGCAGTCTTTGTGGCTGATTCATTGTCAGCACTGCTACGACACTGAGCTATTGCCCAATGAGTAGGGCTCGCTCCTAAGAGGAGAGAAACAACTCACCCAGATGCTTCTCATTGCCCGTGTGGAGCAGCCTCATTCCTCCTGCAAGACAAATGGAGCATTAGCTGTTTGGGGACAGCTTTGTGTGTCTCTGGTAGGGAAGTGTTTTAACTCATGGCAACAGGCTGTGTAAATCAGAGCTGGAGCTGCAGCCAAATGATGCAATTAGAGGTCTTGCTGTCAACAAACAATCATGCAAATTTGTTCTCTCTGATAGGAATCAAGGAGGAGACATGACTAAGCATGTAATAGCAGGGGGTTGGGAGGGGAAGAAGTTGCCCAATGCTTCCTAATGAGGGAAAGAACTTAGTGCAGAATGGAAACAGTGAAAAGGGGAAGATTTGTGGCTGTTTCTCCAGGAACTGATTTAACCAGGCGGTACCTGAAAGCGGGTCCAGGCTGAGGTTTAGGTTGGTCTCCCTGTTTTCACAAGGCTTGCAGGGTGTTTATCCTTACCAAGGACCAGCTAAGTACCTTTTTGTGCTGACAGCCAGCTCTTGTCCCCCTCTGAGCTGCAACCAGCAATTAAAGGCAGTCAGCAGCATCCTCATTAAGGGCAATGCTTGCAGGAGGTGCAGGATGCAGAAAGGGTGTCTGGGGGATGTGGTGCCTGTGATGAACCAGACAGAGCCACAGCCCTTGAGTACCATAACCAGACAGTGCAGTGGGTGGCATCGGTCCCCTATGCCTGGCCTTGGGAGGTGTAGAACATATTCCTGTCCTAAACACCTTGCAATGGATTTAAGCATGATCCAAGCCCCTAGTCCCAACGCAGCACCCACCCTAGCACCCTTCATGGGGCAGGGATGGACCTCTCCATCCGCATCCCTGCAATGGCTCAGTGCTGTTGGGATGTTACAGTACCATACACTGCCAAGTACCTCGTGCACCCTTGGTGGCCCATCTTCCTATGCACATCAGGCACTGCCCTTACAGCACACTGGATGGGAGCCAGAGCCATATGTAAGCAGCTGCTCAGCTATTAAACAGCTTTCGAATCTCAGGATTTAGCATCAAAGCAGAAGCTCTCTTAGCAGAGACGTGCAGGGATCAGCCTTAAAAGAAGGCACCAAAGAAGGCTGGGGAAGAGGCTTTGCCAAGGAACATCTGTCTGAGACAGTTAACGTGAGCTACACAAACCCAGCCCTTTTATTCACGTCTGTTTAATGAGGAAGAGGGAGCCCAGCCTCTCATTTCACTTTCTAAACCAGGTCTTGCATAAGCCCTCATACTTACCTGCTCTTCTCTTTCAAACCAGGCACGCAAGCCCAGCAGGCCTCTTGCTGACAGCAGTCGTGGCAGTGTCCTACAAAATCGCCATGCTGTATGAGGGGTGAGTAGCTCTGTGCCACTGAAGAGCTTCCAGTGATCCCAACCAGCCTTAACTCGGGAACAGCACAGGCAGGGATGGGTTTTCCCAATGAATTCAGCAGGGAAGAAGGAAAACAAGAGGATCGTTTCTCGGTTGTTTTCACAATGGGCAGATTCCACCCTGCAACTACTTGCTGAGTTCTGGGAACGTTGATGCTGGGGTTTATTCGTGTCAGAATGAGAGGATCTTTTCCATTCTGGTGCCTGTTTCTCCCGATACAAGAGCAATAAGGAAGGCGGTGAGAGGCTTCATTCTGTCATCTCAAGAGACCCTGCAAGAAGAGCTTGTATTGTGTAGCTCCTTGCATGGGCTTCTCTCCTATTTGGTGCCACAATAGCTCAGCAGCCCAGGACAGAGCAGCCCTGAATTATCCCCAGGAGCAGCAGTAGTGCTTGAGCATGAAGAGTCTTTTGTGTTTGCAATGGAGGAGGAGATGCAAAGGGAGATGAGGCTGCTCGGTGTGCACGGGGAGTCTGAGCGTGTACTGAGCCTCATGCTGTTTGGTGCAGGGATGATCCCAGCTTGGAGTCCAGAGAGATGGAGCCAGGGATTGCCATAGGGATAGTCACAGGCCAGCTTGCAAAGGGCAGAGTTTCTGGGTCCAACAGAGAGCATGCAGTCATCTTTATATTAATTCTTCCCCCCCCTTCTTTTGCCTCTGTCTTGTGTCTCTGCCCCCTCTCCCCCCAAATTCCCAACTACAGGCCTTTCACAGAAGAAATCTATCAGCAGAAACAGAAGGGAGCGAAGAGCAAGTAGCAAGAGGTATGTTTGCCAATGAGCATTGCAGCAAGAGGGGCTGCTTCACACCTACAGGCACGTTAGATGAGGATGGGAGCACCCCCTCGCCCCTTCCCAATGCACCCCTGCCCAGCCCTGCCTTTCCCAGCTCCTCCAGAGCCCTTCCTGCACTTCGCCATGGATTTGAGCTTCCAGCCTCCACAAAAACCCATACAGGAAGGCTTTGCACAGCAGTGATTGTGGCTGCCTCTTGACACTCAACCCCCAAATTGCTTTGATTATATACTTGAGAGTGCGAGGGCAGGATACTGGGGAGCTTTGAGGCTCCAGCTTAGTCTAAATCAAGCAGAGAAAAGCAGCTATTGCCCACAGTAGGTGCTCCAACGAGCAGCAGGGATGGTGTGAGAGGGCATGCGGGGCATTACCCCACATGGAAATAGAGCATCCCTGCTCCAAGGCTGCTCCTTGCCCCAGCCAGGAGCATTTCTACACATGGGCTTGCACCAGTGCACCCCAGAAACTCTTTTTGGTTTGGCTTCCTTTTGGTTGGAAGGGCTGGACAAGCCCAAGTGCAATCACAGTTGAGGTTCTGGCAGCCCCATACCGAAGATGCTGTAGCACATGGGTGAGATGCTGTTGGTGAGGTCTCTAACAAACTCTTGTCTCTCTGCCTGTTGCAAAGCAGCATCTCGGATACCTCGCACAGCGTGCCTCTGCGGTCCCCACACTGGCCCATTTGCCCGTTTTCCTACTGAGATGTATCCTGTAATTAGCCCAGCAACCCTTAATGAGCCAACTGAGCACCCCGCAGGATTGGAAGCAAGGGGAGGAACACCTCCTTGCTGCTTGAGATGGAGGTCCCTGTCCCCAGGTCTCTGTCCCCATTGCCAGCTCATTGCAGCTCGTGCCATGAAGGTGGTACCATGGCATGGGACCTCCCAGCCTCTTCTGCACCACTTACTGGAGATCTGCAGGGGAAGAAGCAATACAGCACCAGCCCTGGACTGGAGGGCAAGAGGTGATGGAGACACTGAGACCCTTGTGTAAGTTACCTCTGAGAGTGGAGAAGCACCAACTGAAGATGCTGCTGAAGAGCCAGGGGAAGAGAAAAGCTCAGGTGAAGCAATGGGGAGGGCTCAGGAGCTCCTGAGGTGTTCAGACACAGCTGGAGAAGGAAGAAAGGAAACTGCTGTGAACCCAACAACAAACCCTCTCTCTCTGGGAGAGGGGAACTTCCCCATCCAGAGCTCTGGTTTCCCACCTGTAGCATCTCCACACTATGTGGAAAGGCTCCGAGAAAGGTGACGGAAGAGCATGGAGAAGTGAAGAACAGCCTAAGGGGTGATGAAGGGCTGGCAGCCGGCCATGGGGAAACTGCAACGTGGAGAAGACCAAAGGGAAGAGTTAGTCCTCATCTGCACCCTGCAGATACCCCCTCCTTGGCCGTGTCCATGCCCTGGCTCCTTCCTTTTCCCCCATGAGGGTCCTGCCTTCCCTTCCCCACCACCCAGTGCCTTCCAGCTGTTTCCCACTGCCTTGCAGGGCCAGTGGATGGGAAGGAGGGAAAGGGCTGCTTCTGCCTTCAGTGCTGCACAGCAGCCAGGTATGGATCTGCCCCTCCAACCTTACCATCAGCCTCTGTAAGTCCCAAAGAGCCCAGTGCTGGATCCTGCCCTGAATGAACGCATCCCAGGGGTGATGCTCCAGACCCTCAGGCTCAGTGTTTACAGATTCCCAGCACAGTTGGAGAAATAAGCTGTAAATGACCAAAAAAGAGGCAGTGTGAAGCCCCCCCCCATGCAATGCTGCCAGCTCTCTGGGATGCGGTGCCACATCTCAGCACCAGGATGCAGTACCGCATCTCAGCATCACAATGCCGTACCGCATCTCAGCATCACGTTGTCCCCTCCACAGAGGGTCCTCCCTTTTCTCAGTGTCACCTCACAGTCCCATTTCCTCTTGCTTCTGCATGTTGTTAATTCACCCTTCGGGCATTGCTCAGCAGGAATTAAAAGCGTTGGTTTCTTTTCAGTCCAGCCTCTGTTTCCTTGGGCCGAGCTCACGGATGCTGTGTGTGTGTTTCATCACCATTACACAAGGATCTGTTTTAGTCGCCGTCCCCTCAACCTTCCCATTAAAGACTTGGGCATAGTGGTTTATTTTTAGGTAAGTTTCCTCATCCCCTTCACTGTTAATGTTTATAGACTGGGTTTAAAGTTCCCAGTGCCCATAGCAACCAGCACGGCGAGGATACGTTGCATTAGCCAGGCAGTTTATGTCAGAGTTGCTCGCCCTGGCTCCTAGTCTCTGATGTGAATAAACTTGGCTTTGTTGATAGGTGAAATCAGTATTGAACCAAAGAGCCACGTGCTTGTTTGGGAAGGATTACTCTTAATGACACAGCAAGGGCTGTGTCTGTGCTGTTGCATTCCCAGTCTGGGACCACGTACACCTTTCCCTATCCGTATCACAAGGCTTGGGGGTCTCCATTTGTGCTATTCCCATTCTCATCCCACATCTATCACCATAAACCCCAGTGATGGAGCTGCTTCCTCTTCTGTGCCCAAAGCATCCCAAAAGCATCAGGACCTGCTTCATGGATGCCTTCCTCCTTTTGCAAACCCAATTCCAACCCAACCTTCCCAGCCACTCCAGGTAGGCACAAGGGTTTTTGCTGGGGCTGTGCCAGTTGCACCCCTGTTTTCAGTAGCTCTTCCTGCAGCAGCCAGCAGGGATTAACGTGTCTCTGCCTTCACAGCCCCAGTTCTGGCTGCTGTAGAGCCGGAGTTTAACGTTTCAGAGGCATCTGCTCTGTTCCCTAAAGCAGATCCAAGGAGCCGGAAGGTGATGCTCAGCCCATCTCATGGGGTCCAAGCCCACATTCCTCCCTCGGGGGGGGGGGCTGTTGGCTCTGGCTGGGGCCAGTCTTTGGCGATGCTGTGCTGCTCACTAGGGTTGGGAGGAGGAGAACACAGAGACACTGTTATTTGTATTGCTTTATGGTATTTATCAACAAGGGATTAAGGGTTATGAGGAAAACAGCATTGATTCATCTCCAATTACCTGATATCTCGAAGAATTTGAGGTTACAGAGGGTAGGGATGAACCCTTCAGGCTGAGCACCACCACTGGTGGTGTTGCAGGACCAGTGATGCAGGGATGGACATCGTGGTCTCCAAAGGAGTCTCTTTGCCATCAGACCCTGTGGACCAGCCATGCTGGCTCAGGATGGGGATCATCCCTCTGCCTCTTGGAGAGGCATCGAGCAGCAATGGGATCCTAGGAAATGTGGTCACAGGAGTGTTTTCCTACCTCCATGGCTTCAAACCGCAGTAGTGTGTCCCTGGGAGCTTGGCAGGGAGGTTGTTTGCAGCCTTGGGAGATGCCACACGTGAGGCCAGGGGCAGATAACGCCTCCCTTGATGTTTGGGCCATTCCTCCAGAGCAAACACTGGGGAAGGGGGATCTGGTTAAATCACAACTGAGCCTGGCAGGGATGGATGGATGGATGGATGGATGGATGGATGGGTCACCGAGTCCTCTGCACTGCACTGCCTTGGGTCGCCCTGTCCCATAGCCCCCAGAGCAGCTCAGCCACCCTCGTGCTCCATGTGCCTCCCCTCCCTAAGCTGCATGTGATGTGTTCTGGGGGGGGGGGGATCACCCATACAAACCCCAATAGCCCCAGTGATAGGAACATGGTGAGGGGCCAGCACCATGCTCAGGGGAGACCTTGGAGCATGTCCAGGGAACGTCGGAGGGGCTGCAGGAAACCTGGAGAGGGGCTTGGGACAAGGGATGTAGGGACAGGCCAAGGGGAATGGCTTGAACCTGAAACAGGGGGGATTGAGATGAGCTCTTAGGCAGAAGCTCTTCCCTGTGGATGGGGCTTGGAGCAAGCTGCTCCAGTGGAAGGTGTCCCTGCTTGGAGCTGGATGTGCTTTAAGGTGCCTTCAACCCAAGCCAGGCTGTGATTGACTCAGAGAGGAGCCGGGCTCTGTAAACAGCTCCCCACTGGAACAAACCACGACATGGAAAAAGCAGCACATTCCTATGATTCCTGTTTGGAGCTGAGCTCCGCTCCGGGCTGTCCCGGCGGCCTTCTGGTGTGCAAGCTAAAGCAAACAGCCCCGTAACTCATCACGGTGTGAGCTCCGTGCGTAAAGGCCCCGGGGTGGAGGGTGGTGTTAGATGGATGTGATCCCTGGCTGGGATGTGAAGGGCAATGGGGATGTTGGATGTGGGATGCTGCTGCTCTCCCCGCACCGAAGCATCCTCTGGGTATCCATGGGGGGTGCCTGCATCCGCAGACCCCAGAGCCTGCCATGTGGCTCAATCGCCGCTCTGCTGAGGTGGGACAAATCCTGGTCCTGCCCTAGGTGTTGACTGGGGCTCCAGCACTGGTGGGTTCCCACCTGGAAACAGCTTCTTATTGGGGCGTTCTTCCCATTGCGTTTGTGAGTGTTTAAAGCTCAGAGTGTTTAAAGCACTGCAGGGATAGGGAGGAGTGGTTTGTTCCCATGTAAAGGTAAATCCTGTCGTGTCTCCCATCTGCAATCTGGATTGAGGGGTCCCTGATAAACAGTCATAGAATCCCAGCCTGGTTTGGGTTGAAGGGACCTTAAAGTTCATCCAGCTCCAACCCCTGCCATAGGCAGGGACACCTCCCACTAGAGGCAGCTTGCTCCAAGCCCCTGTGTCCAACCTGGCCTTGGGATGGGGCAGCCACAGCTTCTCTGGGCAAACCAGTGCCCAAACTGCCCCTTCCAGTGCCATTATCCCTGGATGCTCAAAGCTCATCTTTGCTGGAGGCAGACGAGCATCTCCCCTGCCCACCGATGGCTGTGTGTGGGTTCAGGCTCAGCACCAGGATGGGTGCAGGAGCCCCAGAGCCCTCCCACCCCGTTCCCTTCCATCTTCCCCTATAGCAGAAGCGCACACTCAGCGCGGCTGCCCCGGTTGCGCCATGTGTTTGTCCTTGTTCCTGGCTATGGGGTTTGTTTGTCACACAAGGGCCGCTGGCCATCCCTCCCCTGGGGGAGGCAAACACAGGAGTGGGGTTACTTGTGGTCACAACCAAGTGCAGGAGATGGAGGTCCCTGTCCCCAGGTCTCTGTCCCCACTGATGTCCCCCCCCTCTGGGGACGTGGCCCTGGTCCTGGGTGGCCTCAGCATCGCGATGCCTTCAGTGAAAGGAGTGCAGCATCATGGAATGGGTTAGGATGAAGGGACCTTAAAGCTCATCCAGCTCCAACCTCCTGCTATGGGCAGGGACCCCTTCCACTGGAGCAGCTTGCTCCAAGCCCCTGTGTCCAACCTGGCGTTGGGATGGGGCAGCCACAAGTAAATGGGGGTCACAGGAGGGAGGCAGAGCATCCCGAGCCCCCTGGGAAGGAGGCACCAGAGCCTGCGGTTCTGTTCTGCTGCTGCATCAGGGCAGGAAGCCTTGATTTGGGCTCAGCCCTCACCCAGCTCAACCCCAACACCTCCAATGACAGCCTCGGCATAAGCAGACCCCGCAGCCAAAGCCATGGGGGCGGATGCAGGACCTGGGCATCAAACACTTCCATGCTCCAAGCCCTCACCCCCGGCTGCATCCTTGTGCCAGCTCCAGCCTCCTCTTGGGCTCTTGTTTCTGTCCTATAACCCCATCAGCCATCACTATTTCCATGGGAACCCTCCTTCAATCCGTAGCAATGCATCCGCTGGGGACGCTCAGCCTCCCTCTCCCCTCTGCCTTGTATTCCGAGCCCATCTCTGGTTACAGGTGACATTTCCCTCTAATCCCAGGGATCTGCCGCTCTTTGGAAGGGAGCAGAAGGTGCCAGAGTTTGGGGACACGTCCGGGACATGCAAACACCTTTGTCCATGCCAGATGCCGGCGGGATGCTGCTGCCTCTGAAGGAACCAGAGGTGAACGGATGGGATGAGATGGGATGGGAAATGGGAGCAGAGGGTTCCTGGGGTGTCCCTGGCTCTGGGGAACCTCTGTTCTGCTCCGTTTGGAGCTCTTGTCCCATGGTTATCCATGGCCTCTGCAGCAAAGATGGGAGCTGCATCATTCCAGGCACAGGGAGAGCATCCCCAAGGGCGCTCTCACCACCCCTTGCCTGCGTCACTCAAGGAAGCAGGGATCTGAGGCACGTCTCCAGCTTCCAAATACCCTCTTAATCCGATCCCAAGAGCTGAAAGGAACCGAGAGGCATTAAAAGTGCTGCTAAAGAAGCAAGTCCCCCAGCAGCCCACTCCTGCATCCGATCTCATCTCTGTGTTGTGAATTACGTGCTTCTGTTGAAGAGCCTTAAAGGAGGGTTAATAAAATGAGACAAGTTAATAACATAGGGAATGAAGAGCATCCCGGGATGCTGCAGCTCGAGCTAATCAGATGCTTTTCCCCAGGGGAGCAAGCAAGAGCTATAGCTAAAGCCTCCCTTCCCTACCCCTGCTTCCTCCATCTCCTCGCTCCTTCTCCCATCCCAGGGGAGCAGCCGACAGGATTCGGGGTCCCATAAGATCCCAGATGCTGGGAAAGAGCCCATGGTGGTGATGGATGCGCAGGGTCACACGGAGCACACCGGGATGCCATACACCAGATAGGGAAAGGGGTCCTATTGATGAGCAGGTCCCTATCCTGGGGCAGAAAAGCAGGAATTGGGGATTCAGGAAAGCCAGGCTGTGGGCTTGTATCCGGGTGCAAAGCCCCAGTCTGGAGCCAGGGAATGCTGCGTGCTGCTGCACAGGGGATAAGCCCTTGGTAGGACATGAAGCATCTTAACAGCAGTGATAAGGAGCTCATATCGGATGTGCTCCCTCCACGGCCCACAGGGGCTGGATGTGGAAAAGGCATCAATTGCTGCTCCTTCCTTCCTTTTCCACCCCTCGGATCCAGAGTTCCCATCCATGACCCAGCTCAGCAATGCTGCTTCCCTTCTCCACAGCACACCCAGAAACCAAAGCCATGTTCTGATGTAATTGTTCTCTTCCGAGTATCCCCCCAATGCTCCAGCCCTGGGCCGATGCATCCCGATCCCATCTCCTGGTACATTTTGCTTCCCACATTCTGCAGAGGCTGGTGCTGCCTGCACAGCTCGTCCCAGCCAGGCCCTGGGGAGCTGCATGTTCTGCCATTGGGATGTTCTTGTGGCTTTCATGGAATTCCCTTTCCCCAGCTGCTCCCCCATGGATGGGTTTGTTCCTTGGTAAACCCAGGAGGGTGCAAACAGGGGGGAGAAGTAGCAAGAAAGCAGGGATTGATCCATGCTGATGTTCAATGCCATTAAAGGTGTCTGTGGCTCTTGCTGTACCAAGCAGCTGCATATAAGAGGTGTCCCTGCCCATGGATGATCTTAAGGTCCTTTCCAACCCAAACCGTTCTATGGTTCTATGATCCCCTGAAGCAGGATGAGGAGCAAAGCACCCCATAAAGGACAGGTCCAGCTCTGCATAGGCACCCATGGGGGGGATGTGATATTTCACCTGCCCCTGCTTCAGCCTGGGGCTATTTGCAGCCAGGTCAGAAATAGGGAGTGATTTTTAACAGCCATTGCCACGCATTGGGGTGGATCCGTTCTCATCCATCAACCCCTGGGAAATGAGTTTCAAGATGGTTTTGGGGGGGGGCTCAGCCTGATGCCTTGCAATGCTCCTGTCCTGAGGCTCTGCGTGACTCTGAGAGGAGCTTTAGAGGAAGCAAATGGATTTTCCATTGCTGCGAACCCAGGAGAAGGCTTCGAGCGGGCTATTTTTACCCATTCCTGGCACTATTAATAGCTGTTCAGTTGACAATAAATGCCAGTCAAGCTATTGGATTTGTCTGTACCCCAGAGGTCAGCACTTCCTATCCATCCCCCCCCTTGTTTTCCCTGTTGGGGTCTCCCACACAGATGGATAAACATGGGAAATTGTCCCACTTTCCCTTCCCAAAGTGTCCTTGCTGCAGGGCAGGATGTTCCCCTGCAGGCAGGAATGGCGCTGCAAGGGAAGCAAAACCGGAATGCTTTCCCCTTCCATCCCACAGACAACTGCAGTTCCTTCACAGGGATTTGGACAGGGTTTAAGCTAATACCCATGTGTGAGCCCACACTCGGGGGAGGTGAAAAGCTCAGCACCATCCGCTTCCCAAGCGGCACTGATGGGATGCACTGAGCTGCACTGATTCCTGTGTTCCGGCTGTCCCCAAGACCCCTCTCAGTGCTGTGGGTGAGGCTCCTGCTACCCTGACCCTGTTGCTAAGTTTGGTGGGTGTTTTTCCCAATGGAGCCTCACAAGTGTTTCTAATTCACACTTGCTCATCAGCCTGATTTAAAGAGGAGCTTGGGTGCCCCAGGCCCTTTCTCTCATGGGTAGCCCAGAGATCCCTCAGCAGAGCAACACTCCTGTTTCTCTGAGGACTATTGCTTGGCTGCTGCTATCTCGGGGTGATGCTGGTTGAACCCAGCACCTCTTCAAGCACATTATAGCCTGAGGAACCTGCCTTGGCACCCAGCTCCAGCAAGACCCAGCATCTTACAGGTAACGCACCCTCCCTGGAGCACCCCACCGGGAGCAACCCTGCTGCCTGCACTGCATCCTGTGAGCATCCTTCCTCCTCCTCCTCCTCGGGGCAGCTCCCCCCTGCCCCACAGGGGCTGTAGGGCCCGATGCTGCGGGCTCATACCCCAAAGCCCTGCCCGGGGCAGTGCGGCTGCTGCGCTGCCTGCGGGACCCTTGCCTGCCCCCTAGCGGCGGAGCTGGCGGTGCAGGGCTTCGCTCCGCTCTGCCTCTGGGGCCCGCTCCTGCACTGGGATCAAGTGTATGAACCGCAGCGAAACCGCACCGGGGAGCGGGGCTGGGATCCCCCGGTACCCCCAGCTCCGGGTGCTTCCCCCTCGGGCCGGCCTCGGGAGGCCCGAGCCGGCTGCAGGGCACGGGGACCCCGCGCTGAGTTGCGAGCGGGACGGAGACAAAAGCATCGGGGCTGCGGGCTGAGCCGCAAAGGGGGCGGCTTGCAAATGGGACCGGGTGTAGGAACGGGGCTGTGCAGAACCGGAGTGCAAACGGGACCGGCTCCTAAGCACCGGGAGTGGGAACCGGGCTGCAAATAGGACTGGGCTGTGCAGCGCTGAGGAGCCTTAACTTGGCTGCGAGCGGGACAGGGCTGCCAAGCACTGGCAGTGAGAACCGGGCTGTGTAGAGCCGGGAGCCCCCACTGGGCTGCAAAAGGGACGGGGCTCCCAAACACCGGGTGCGCGAACCGGGCTGCAAATAGGACTGGGGTGCGCAGCACCGGGAGCCCAAACGGGACGAGGCTGCTGCCAGGTACCGAGAGTTGGAACTGTGATTGAAATAGGGCCGGGCTGCGCAGCACCGGGAGCCCCGACGGGGCTGCCAAGTACCGGGAGTAGGAACCGGGCTGTGCAGCGCTGGGGAGCCTTAACTTGGCTGCGAGCGGGACAGGGCTGCCAAGCAGTGGCAGTGAGAACCGGGAGCCCAACTGGGCTGTAACGGGACGGAGCTGCCAAGTACCGAGAGTACGAACTGGGATGCGAACGGGACGGGACTCGACTCCTCAGCGCCGGCAGTAGGAACCGGGTTACAAACGGGTCTGGGCTGCGCAGCACTGGAGAGCCCAAATCGGGCTGCAAACGGGACGGGGCTCTCAAGTACCCGGAGCGCGAATGAGGCTGTGAACGGGGCTGCGCTGCCCAGCACCGAGAGCCCGAAGGGGACTGCGCTGCTCGGAGCCGGGCACTGACTCAGCCGCCACCGCCCCGGGCCGTGACGCGCCGAGGGGCGGTCTCTGCCTCCTCCATATAACGAGGCAGCGGCCGTGCAGAGCTCACAGTGGCCTTTCCTGCGAGGGGAGGGGGCTGAGCAGCAGAGCACGCATCGCCTTCCTCCTCCTCATCCTCCTCCTCCTCCTCCTCCTCGTTCCTCGGCGCAAGCTGCCCTTCGCTTCAATGAAACTGGCAGCGATGATCAAGAAGATGTGTCCCAGCGAGGCCGAGCTGAGCATCCCCGCCAAGAACTGCTACCGCATGGTGATCCTGGGTTCCTCCAAGGTGGGCAAGACGGCCATCGTCTCCCGCTTCCTCACCGGCCGCTTCGAGGAGCAATACACCCCCACCATCGAGGACTTCCACCGCAAGTTCTACAGCATCCGGGGGGAGGTCTATCAGCTCGACATCCTGGACACATCGGGCAACCATCCCTTCCCCGCCATGCGCCGCCTCTCCATCCTCACAGGTACTTGGGTGGGGAGCGCCAGGAGGAAAAGGGGGGTCCCCGTAGTGGATTTCAGGTGTTCTTGCCCAGTTTGGGGGTGTTTCTCCAATCCTGGGAAGTGGGATTTTGTGTGGGGGGGGTGTGGGCAACTTTGGTCCCTGCATGGGGTGGATGGGAGGATGCAGGACCCATGTGCTGCCTGGTCCGTTCATCCCCAGGCACTTAGCTTAGGCAGTGCATCCCCATCCCTGCGGCCGTCTCACGTTCCCTCTTTGTCCCCAGGAGATGTGTTCATCCTCGTGTTCAGCCTGGACAACCGGGACTCCTTTGAGGAGGTGCAGCGCCTGAAGCAGCAAATCCTAGAGACCAAGTCGTGCCTGAAGAACAAAACCAAGGAGAACATCGAGGTGCCCTTGGTCATCTGCGGCAACAAAGGTGACCGTGACTTTTACCGGGAGGTGCAACCCCGGGAGATCGAGCAGTTGGTAGGAGGGGACCCCAAGAAATGCGCTTACTTTGAGATCTCGGCCAAGAAGAACAGCAGCCTGGACCAGATGTTCCAGGCTCTCTTTGCCATGGCCAAGCTGCCCAGTGAGATGAGCCCCGACCTGCACCGCAAGGTCTCGGTCCAGTACTGCGACATCCTGCATAAGAAGGCGCTGAAAGGCAAGAAGCTGCTGAAGGAGGGGGGCCGGGGCAGCTCGGAGGAGGCGTTCGGCATCGTGGCCCCCTTCGCCCGGCGCCCCAGTGTCCACAGCGACCTCATGTACATCAGGGAGAAAGCCATCGGTGGGGGGCACAGCAAGGAGAAGGATCGCTGTGTGATCAGTTAGGAGCTGTGCCCACCATGGGAAGGAAGGAAGGAAAGACTGGAGGGGGGGAAAGATGCTTGTTTCCGAATTGAGTTTGGGCAGGCACCCACCTAGAGAGGGGTTTGCCTCTTTCCCCAGCTTCCCTTATCCCAAGGCATTGCTTTCATCATCTCCCTTCCCTCCGGGGGGGGGGGATTTTGGGATGCAGGGATGCGAAGGGGGAGGCTTAGGAAGGCAGGATGGGGATCTCCTTGGGAGCAGCCTCCTCCAGGCAGAGAGACAGGGAAAGGGTGAGCTGCTGGGCAGCCAGATGGGAGGATTAGTGCGGAGGGCACACTTTGGTGTTTCTTTCCCTCCCAAACCACCTTCAGGAGGGGAGGGCAGGGACCTGCCCGTGCCCGCTTGGGGGTTTGGGGTTGGTTCCTGTTGTTTTCTTACCTTGAGAAGCTGAGCACGGACTCTGGCTCTCTGTCCTGTGTGGGTCTGTGTCTATGGAACACGTGCAGAAGACACTCCTAAGCTGTTGCAAAGGCATTGCAGGGTTACAGTCCCGATGGACCGAAACACTGACTCCTGTTTACATTCGTCTTGTCTCATTTGCAAGATTCAGGGGAGAGGGGTGGTGATGGAAGGGGTGGGGGGAGAAGGGGAAGGGCTTTTCTAAGTGAGAAACGAATAGCACTTTATGTAGGTCTTGCTTGGCATTGACATGAACAAAAATCTCTTCAAGTGTTTCTACCGTGGGTGAAACTTTGATGTTTTATTTTTTCTACAAGTGAATAAAATCTTTTTCAAATGACACCTGTGGCTTCTCTCCTTTCGACCCGAATCCTGCTTCAGCAAAGCCCAAACCCACTCAATTCAACCCCTTTATTTCACCCCCTTTTCTCCCAGTGCAAAGGTTCCTGGCTCTGCAAGCGCTCGGGATAACAAGAGGCCACGCACGGAGTTACTCACTCCAACGTGTCTCCAAGCCAAGACTCTTTCCTCACTCCACTAATGCCAAGTGATGATGGCAGCAGCCCCACGCCGTGCTGGCCATTGGCATGTCGTTCACTGCAGCAACCCAGCAGCCTGACATCACATTGTTAGAAAGAGCTGCTTGTGTTTCATGCTTCCCCCAACCCCATTAACTAAGCACGCTTTAATGATGTCAACAGGGAGTGAGTCACTTGCACCCTGGTTGGGGTATTGTTTTGATTTTGCAATAGGAGTGAAGGAAGTGCTTTGCTCTAAAGGTCACCTTTGCATTGGATGGGGTTTGATCTCAAAGAGTTAGTAAGTATTGCTCGAAGGGAAAGCTCTTCAAAGAACAGCTCTTCCTGGCTCTGGCTTCTGCTGTGGTTCATTTCCAGCCCCTTCAAGCAGCAGAACAAATGCATATTAATGGCAAAACGATTCTCCTGAAGCCATAAAACGAAGGTGGGCGAGTGAGACTCAAACCCAACCTGCCTCAGTTTCGGTTGAAACTTGGATTCGAGTTGCCAGAGTTAACTTGTTCCTGTGTTAAGTGCCAGACAGTTCTTTGGAAGCACACCGTTTCTTCCAGCTCTGCATATGCCCTGATTTCATAGGAACAGCAGCTGGCAACAAAAGGCAAACCCCCATCCAGGAGTGAGACATGAGAATGTATTGAGCTGGGGCAGGCAATGGTTGACAGCAAGGTAATTCCAGTAATAAAACGAGTGTACATTGTGCTGTGTTTATCTTGGTGGTGTGCTTTACTCAGAGTTTACACACTGGCACCTCCCCAATGAAAGTACTAGTAGAGTGGAGACAGAGTAATCTCTAGGCTCCAGGTGAGTTGCAACCATTCCAGCAAGCAGGACTGCTTGTGTTTTGGGTTAGGAAAGGAAAACCATACACAAACACACCTTGCTTCTCTGCTTTTGAAGGCGTGTTACCCACCCTCTAGCACTGGTTCTTAACAGATACTCGTATTTCTCCAGCTGGTTTTTCACCTCTTCCACTACCAACCTCCACCATCTCTTAGAGAACCATGAGATTCAAGGTCCCATCACATCTTCTATAATCAACAAGACATGGTGTTGCTTATTGTCCTCTGCCACTGTGAGAGCTACAGGAGGACAGAGGCAGGGGAGCCCCACTATCCATCTGAAGGTGACACGACACTCAAGAGCTTTCCATCAGCCACTGGCAACCATTCTACTGCCCAAATGCTTGTGTTTGTGGGAGATGGAACTGATCCATCCTGTTGAGCCTCACTTCTGTCACGTGTGGAGTAGTTAAAGCTCTTACCACTTCTGCCCTCTTGTTTTGATTCTGCTTGCCCTTCCTCCAAGAGGAAAAGACCCAGGAGCCAGGCCCAGGCTATGCATGTCGTCTGTGCTGCCAAAGCCCTGCCCCTGCCCCAGTCCACATCCACTCAGTGAATACACAAGAGAGGCAGCCTGGCATTTCTACATCTCTGCTTGCTTCACCTCAGACACAACCACCACTTGTTGAAAAAGAGAGAAACACAGAAGCAATTGAAAGCAATCGTTCCTCTTTCGACACACAGACGGGAAAGTGTTCCAGAGCCCCTTTCCAGGAGCAGGGCCAAATGGTTCATGCTTCCCTCTTACATTCTCTCCTGATGTTTGGCCATTTTTAAGTGTAAAGAAACCCTAAATCAGAAAGTGCTCCTTTTTCTTGCTGAGGGTAACCAGCAGGTATTTTGACCCACTGCAAGGAGAAAACATCATGTCTCCTTGCTTGCTTCAATGTAAAGAAAACCAACCTCCCCTACCAAGAGAAGAAACAGAAGATGCAGAAATGTACAGTCCTAGAGCAGATCAAAGTGAACATACCACTGTCATCATCATATGTGAAGCACAGCGAGCTGATTCAGTGCCACACACCTTTGATCCACACAGGCACAACTTGAGAGCAACGCCACCAAAAGCAAGCACACAAGAAAGAGAAGTAAACTTCTGCCACCTTTATTTCTCCTGTTCAGCCAGGATAGAGGTATCTCAGTATCTCAGACACAACAGCAGAGCTGCACCCTTCCTACTCCTTGGGGATTTCAAACATGCAAAGGCTCTTGTACTTCTGCAGCAGTTCGTTTTTGGTCCGGACCTGCTCCCGCAGGCTCTGCAGCTGCTGTTGCTGCTGCTCTGGGCTCACGCTGATGCCAGGCATGGAGCTGATCAGCTTCCTCATCTCCTGGAACTTGTTCTTGAGCTCATTCAGCACCTGGTGAACATCCTGGCTGTCCTTGTCCATGCTGCAGAGGAGAGAAAAGCAAGGCACCACTGAATTCTCCTATTGGAAACACCCCTTCTGCCTGTCATTTCCAGTACAACCAGGGCTTAAACTGGAACTCACTGGGCAGATTTTGCTCTTGGTGTCTAGCTACACACACCTAATTGACCTATCACAGTGAAATGGACATAGATAGATACACAGACTGGGTAATCTCTGGAGCAAACTGGTTTCCTGCCAATTTCCAGTTACCTCAGGACCCATCAATGAGGTTAGGGGCTGGTCTGCAGCTTTAAAACATTACCACGGAGCCGGCTACATTCTCCCTCTGCTTGAACTCCCGTCTCTCTCTTTGGGGAAGGTAAGATTGCATACGTGTGTTGTGTGTAGGCACCTGGAAAGAAAGCTCTCAGTCTCACCCATGACCTGTTGCTTGCTGCAATACAACGGAAAAAATCAATGCAGTCAAACAGCTTGACAGCAGAAAACAGAAACTGTTCCCCAAAGTATCCCAGAGCATCCAATGGCAGGGAAAATGGCACTTTGGAGCTTTCAAACGACTCCCTGGGGATGTATACCTCATAAAAGAGAAGCGACAGCTTATTTTGCTTGTCCTTTAAGAGCAGCACAATCAGTTCCACAGCCAGCTCCGTGCTTTTCAAGCACCAGCGTTGTCTGAGGCAGCGTCTGCCCTCAACCCCTCATTAGTATCTGCCTCAGCTTTGTTAGCACCAGCGAGAAGTTTCCCTGATTCCAGGCAAAAAGCAAGTTCCCGCTTCCAGGGCGCCTGTTAATAAGGAGAGAGGGATTCTGATGGTCTTTGACAACTTGGAGCCTGTTCTATAGCCAGAGCTAAAAATAAACCTGCTTGGCATGACCAGGGTAGAGACGGGCTCGATTCTAAACTTGAGGGAATCGTGCCATGGCTGAGAGCAAAGCTTTTAACCAGATGGTGGCCGCTTGCTTCAGAAAGCCTGCTGGAACAAAACACTCATTACTCCCTCCTGAAGCAAACTGCAGCTGCTGCTAGAATGGAGCCCCATTATGCAGGCATTCCCGGTCGGGATGGCAGTGGAAAAGTACAGGCACACACACACACACACAGAGGTTGATGGCACGGGATGGATGGATTGGCGCTGCCTTTAATCTATCATAGCTACAGGCTGGCTTTGAAAGGGATGTCCTTCCCGTTCCAGGCGTCCCCAAGCCTTGTTCCCTTCCCCACAGGTAGGGAGCTGTCTGTGTGGTTGATCCAAAGGAATCAGGTTTTAACCCTCATGGGTGGTTTTCCTGCTGGATCAAGGCACTGAAACGACTCCTTCTCTGAGGGCACGGACAGGCAGGGGTGAGGAAGTGTGGGAAGAGACTGCCTGCAGTAACACAGGATCGAACACAACACCCAGCCACAGCCTGGGCTGATGGAGTGAGCAGAAAACCTGCCTTAAGGCACAGTGCTCTTCATCACAGCACCACAGCCCACCACTGGTGGAGCCATGTGCTGGGGCCTCAGCGGTGATGCCGTTTGACTGTACAAGGTTGAAAATACCAACAAGCCCTGCTTGGGGAAACTCTGTCCGGACCCAAACAACAGGAAAGAGCACGTGTCCTTGTGTGTAAGCAAACTGAGGGGATCTATCCTCGCTCCCAAGCACAGTCACCTTGGAGATGTGTCAAAACAGCAGGGCTGGGCTCTGTGGCTAGCGGCCGTGTTAAAGGATAACACGTTTGCCATCTGTCAGGGACACATCCCATCACCTCTGAGGTCCTACCTGTCTGCAGCACTGCTCAGTGCACCTACATCTGCTCCAGCAGGAAATGCTGTGTGTGAAGCCAAGGAACACAGCTGGTTAAGTGGGATGGCTGCTAATAGTGGGTGACTCAGGGAGACAGGGCACAAGATGTCCTAAGGACTGTTAGCTATGGGTTAGCATGGCTTGCTCCGTGATAGACAGGAACCTGGGAGGTCCCAGCTCATGGTTATGGCTCACTGCTGCACCTGCATGCACACCAATGGGGTTTAGCCTCGCCTGTGTGGTCTGGATAGAACAGACAGGATTGTGGTTGCACCCCCAGCACAGTGGGGAACCTGAGGCACTCAGAGGGTTTGTGTTCTCACAGCCATTCCGTACCGGGATCAATGTGCCTGGGGGTGCTCAGTCTTTCCTCACCACAACTCACGTTGTGGAGCCATGAAGGGTGAACCTCTCTCCCCTTTCAAACATGCTTGATGGAAGTGAAACATCAGCAGGGCATAGCCCAGCCTCAGCTCCTAACTCAAAGCACAGGGAAAGGTCAGCCAGGACCACAACCAGCAATTCACGCTTCCCATTCCCTCTGCCTCACTCCATAGCATACAGGTGAGAGCATGGATGGATTTCCATGGCAGAACCATGACCTTACCGGAACCATCAGCATCCCTGAAGGGATTATCCTGGGCCATACACAGCACAGGTCCCTGAACCTTTGTACAAGTACCTTCGACCTTACAGTACTTATCTTGACCCAGGATGAGAACAACTTGCCCTGTACCACCGCAGAAGCCATCCTGCTTGTTACAACTCCCCAGAAAGGGGCTGTATCCCTGCCCCAGCACTGCCTGTACTCCCTGAGGCTGTTATCAGCCACACAAGACTCTTATCTGCAGCAATAACCCAGTGCGGGTCCAACACTCCTGCTCCTGGCTGTTAATGATGGGGCAGTGTCCCTGCCCCATGGGAGCACCTGCACTGCTTGGGTGACCCAAACACCACACAGGTGCTGCCATGACTCAGAGCAGGGATGCACCTGGGGCTGTGCCAGCTCTTCCCAGGAATTCCAGCAGGGAGGGAAAGGGCAAAGGAGATGCCGGGAGGGGGGGACCTCATTGCCCTGTGACTCACCCAGGGCACTTGAGGATGTTGGTGCTTGGAGAGTATAACCAGAAGGGAGATCCCACTGTCCTGCTCCCCATCCATGGCACCCCAAGGATGCAGGGGGCTGGAGAGCATCGTTACAGGGTGATCCCATTGCCCTCATCCCTGTCCAAGGGCACTTTGATGGTGTTAAAGCATCGTTAAAAGGGGGACCCCATAGCCCTACTCCCCACTCAGGGAGAGGGAAAGCATCATTTGAGTGGGGGGACTCCATTCCCATTCCCTACCCACGGCACCCTGAGGATGTTGGGGTCTGGAGAACATCACTATAGGGGGACCCCATTACCCTGCTCCCTGCTCAGGGGCGCTGAAGGTGGAACCCCATTCCCTCCACGGCATCACTGTTATGGGGGGGGTGAGGGGCCGGGCCGGTCCCGGTGGGCCGGGCCGGGGCGGGGCGAGGCCCGGTGTCCGCCGTTACCATTTGATGATGTCGTGGACGAGGGGCAGGAAGGAGAACTCCTGCGCGGGTGGCGGCTGCGGCGGCGGCGGTTTTGGCTCGGTGGGCGGCTCGGATGGCGGCGGTTCCTCGGCGGCGCGGGCCGCGACCCCCCCCGCGGCCGAGGCCATGGCGGACCCGGGTCCGCAGCCCCGGCGCCGCGTAGTGACGGAGCGGGGCGGGCGGAGCTCGGAGCTCTGCCCCGCCGCCGAGCCCCGCCCGGCTCCTGCGGCCGGCTTGGGTGGGCGTCCCCTAGGCGTGGGCATCGGCCGGCAGCGGGCAGAGCCTCGGTCTTGCTCCTGCGCCGGGGTCGCTCTTGGGCCTTCCCTGGGCGCTGCAGTGGGCATGGGCCGGGAGCGGGTGGATCTCCGAGGTTGGGCCTGGGTCGGAGCCTGCGCCGGGGCCTCGCTTGGGCCTTCTCCCGGTACTGGTGTGGGCATGGGCCGGCGCCGGGTCGACCTCCGAGGCTGGGCCCGGGCCTGGGCTTGGGCTTGGGCCTGGGCGGGCCCCGGAGCCTCGGCTGGGCCCTCCCCGGGCACTGCAGCGGGCATGGGCCGGCACCGAGTCGACCTCCGAAGTTGGGCCTGGGTCGGAGCCTGCGCCGGGGCCTTGTTTGGGCCTTCCCCAGGCACTGGAGCGGGCATAGCCCCGCGCCGAGTGGATCTCCGAGGTTGGGCCTGGGCCGGGGACTGTGCCGGGGCCTCGCCTGGGCTTTCCCTCGGTACTGCTGTGGGCACGGACCGGCACCGGGTCGACCTCCGAGGTTGGGCCTGGGCTTGGGATGGAGCTGGCACCGCGGCCTGGCCTGGACCTTTCCTGAGCTTTGCCCTGGGCATGGTGCGGCAGCGAGTGCACCCCGGGGTTGGGTCTGGAGTGGGCCGTGTCCGGGTCTGGGTCTGAGCCGAGCCTGGGGCTTGCGCTGGGCTCGGGCCTGAGCACGGGCAGTGCCCCTGCGGTGACCCCCCCTCGTGCACACCAACGGCAGTGAGAGGAGAAGGGGGGCCGGGGTCCCCCCTGCACCAGCACCTCTGGTGTGCTCAGGGTGTGCGCCAGCGCTGCGCACATCCCTCCCTTTCAACCCAAAGCTTAGGGGGGAGATCTCCCTGTGCAGTGTTAAATCAATCACTGCAGCAGGGACTTGCTGCCTCTGCTACATCCCAGCTTCCCAACGTGGTTTGTTCAATAGTTGGTGTCCTTAGTTTGACTTCACAGGGGGCTGAGTGATGGGGACGTGGTCTTTGTAATGCCTTAACGTGGGAGCAGGCTTTGTGCCCAGGGGTGGAAGCACAGTGGGCATTAGTTTAGGGAAACCAAGCTGGAGTGTTTGCTGAGAGCCTGGCTTGGAAAGGGGAGGAATTTGGAGGAGAAAATGCGTAGCTTAATGTTTCATTGAAAATAACCCACCCTGCTCAACAGTCATGGGCTGGGAAGGCAGTTTTCTTCTTTAAACTAGTTTCTTTTGAAAAGGCAAACAGAAGCTATTTATAGATCAAATGAGAACGCTGGTAACCATTTAACCACAAGGAATATTGACTCTTTGCTCTAAATATAGCAGATGCAATCGCTCACTTTGTTCCTACTGTCAGGAATAGATGCCGGCTCGGGCACTGATGTTGGAATGTGCGAAGGAGCCCAGATCCCTATGGAGAGGCTGGTGGTATTTATGGTCCTTCCCTGAGCCAAGCAGGAGGTGCAGGATGCTGCGTCCTTTGCATGGGGCTGAGCCGAGAGGTTCATTTCTGTCACTATGGGCTGTCTCTAAAGCAAGACTTGATTCAGGCTCCATGGGGGTCTCCTCCCTCTGCACTGTGGTGGGGTTAATTCTCCCCTTGACTTGATGGAGAGGATGGTTAACTGCTGCTGCCTGCCTCTGAGGGGTGAGTCAGTCCTTGGAGCAGGTGACAGCGTGCAGATACCATTCAGCTGCACCTAAAGTGCCGTCAATCAGGCTTGCTTTGTGCCATTCAGTTCTCATTTTGGGGTTTGTGTTCCCAGAGCAGCTGGAGCACAGCTTTATCTAGGTTGTGTTCCTTCCTATCACCTCCTAGTGGAAACAGCTCCCTGAGGTGACCCATCTCTGTCCTTAGGGGCTTGTCATGTCTTGTGGCAAATCCAGGGGAGAGTGAAGATGGTTGGGGTAGGGTTGTGATTCAACAGGCTCCTCCAGCACTGAAGATGCTGGTGAATGGGTTGGATGAGTATCCTCCTGTGCAAGGGGCACAGTAGAGCTGGTGCATGTACCATGACAGTGTGTCTATGTGAGGTCTATGGGGCGAGGTGAGACCCTGCTGACAGGTTTGCAAGAAAGAGAAGATGTGATTTGAGGGGTGCAGGCAAGCTTTGACCTCTGAGAAGCTGTGCTGGTGGACCCTAATCTTCACCTGCCTTTGTGGAGCTCCAAGGTGAGGCCCTTGTCCCCATGGGATAAGTGACCTGACAATCTGGGTCACATCCTTGTGATGCTGGTCCTAACAGGTATTGCCAACAATGTGGTTTTCCCCCTCCATACCACTTTGTAATCCTGTCAGCATCTCTACTTCAGGTGGAAGGGCTGTGTCTGACCGTCCTCATACAGAGCTGGTGGTGGTCTGCAAGCCTCCCTCATTTTCCAAGCAGGAAAGCTGGGATTTTCCCAACCACACCATCAGTTCCTCAGCGGAAGGGTTTGAATGAGCAGCCTATGAAAGCTCCTAGTGAGGCAGCTAAAACACGAACAAAGACACTGAGTGTTGAATGAGAAGGATAATTTCCCTCTGGATTTGGTAATAAACGTGAAGAGCAAATATCGACCTGTTCCTCTCCTTTGACTGGGGCTCTTTGTGTAATTCACTCCCTGGACAGCCAGTTTCTAAGTGTGCAAATGTCTCCAAACCATCTTATCTTCCACATCTTGAAGCCATCATGCATTCATTGCTCATCCAAACATTTGGTTAACCCATTATCCTAAAACCCAGCTGAGCAAATAACCTCTGTGTGGAGCCTCTTTTGGTGGTGCCTGTTTCCTTTATGATACCAATGGTGTGTTTTTCCTGTCATTTCTGTACAAATTGTGCCTCTTGTCTGCTTCCAGAGGTAACTTGTGAGGGATTTACCACCAGTCCCTTCATTCAGTGCCAGGTAACTGTACCTTTCACCTTTGCCTTACAATGACTCGATGTTTTTATATTGATGGGCTGGCATTTCATTGGGTTCTGCTTCTGGCCGCTGGACCATCTGGAGCTTGTGCTGTTGCCATCAGCTCTGTTATCATTTTTAATATGTGGCTATCACCAGGCTGAACTTTATCTCTTCCTCCTGCGCTGAGTTTTCTATTTAAGCCTTGTTAAGCTGCTGTGGTGGGATAAGCCTGTATTACTCAGCTGGGAAGTGATGTCAGGGTTGTGGCCACCTGGGATGGGGTGATAGGAATGAGAAGTTACAGCTCCAGCATCACAGGAACATCGGACCTTTTCCTTAGGTCATGGCAACAGCTCAGGTTCCTGGCCAAGAACCCCTTAATTTTGACCAGGTGGGAATTGGTCTTGGGCTCTTCCCTGTCTTGAGCCTTGGTGTCATTTAGGGACGGTTTCAGGGCTGTGCTGTCCCAAGCTTTTTGGGGGTCATAAGCTGAGCTCCATCCTTTGAAGCAGTGTTTTAACCAGAGAGGCTTAAGGCCATGGAATTCTGGCTTCCCCAGACATGCAGCCCTGCACCACCACATGCTCCCAAAGCTTCTGGTGGCCTGGGTACCATTGTGCTTCAAGATCCATCTGGTGTGAACAAGCAGGACCAAATGCATCCAAACCCACCCCAGTGCCTTCTGGAGCTGGCTATGCTTTGGCAGAGCTGCTGGGGAAGCTGCTTCAATGGAGGGGAGGACTGTCATCCATGGCTAGAGACATGCCATCCTCTGGGAAAGTGACATCCTCCAGTGCACAGGATAGAGCCTGGTTGGTGTTGGAACTGCAGGGCATTGGCCTGGCCGTGAAGGTCAGTGCTTTGATGCACTGAGCCTCAGGGGGGAGAATGGGGATGATTCAAAGGCACAGGGAGTGGCCAGGGGATCTGGTGATGTTCAGTGATGCCACCATTGAGCAAACACAGGGGCTGGACCAGGCTGCGTGCCACCCCTGGAAAGGCACGTAAACCAGTGTGTGGCCAAGGGGAACGCAGGGCTGCATGCGCAAGGACAGGTACACAGAAGCCTGGATCCAGGACAGCACCCAGGTGGATTAGCTGCAACCTGGCCCATCTCCATCTTTGAAGCTCGCTGCCTCTGTTGGGCAGCTCTGTGCCCTTGGACAGTGTGGGGTGTTGGGTCTTTGGAGCCACCGATTCCTTGCAGGGTCCCATCAGGTCATTCCAAGCTGAGTTTGAGTGCTCCTACCCAGTGCAAAGAGGAGAAAGTCGCTTTGGGGTGGCCCTAAGGATACCTCCCCCTGCAGAGGGAAGTGCCCTTGGTACCACTGGGTAAAACCAGCCTCATCCCTGCTGGCTGTCATCTGCAGCACAGTGACAACAGCATCCCTGCTATTACAAATGAGCAGCAAAGCACACGAGGCAGCAGCATTTGTGCTTGAAGCATTGCTGCAAGAGCCTGCACCAGTGCCCCAACCTCCTGGATGCACATCCTGCATGTGGGGAAGGTGATGGAGTGGGGCAGCACATACGTGTGCATCCCTATGTGTGTCTGTGTGCTCGTGCATCTGTGGCTCCCACTGTTCAGAGGGCAGACTTACCAAGATGAATTTATCTGGCTGCTAGGAGCAGACTTGCTAATGGGGTTGCATTAAGGGCTTTATTGAAATCCCTGCTCCCTTTCTTGGTGTTGTGCTTATTCTGCTAAAGTGGGTCAGGCTTTGTTTGGGTCTTTGTCAGGTTCCCTTCAAAGTGTGGCAGCAAAAGCCATTACCTGATGTTGGAGCTGCTCTTTGGTTATTTAATGCAGGGAGCGAGAGGAAAGGAGCTTTGTTTGGACTTTGGTTTGGCACATTTAAAGTGGCATCAGGGGAAGATTTTAGCAATTACCATTTCACTACAATTGGCCTAATTACTGCAAACAGGCCCATTTTACAGGGGCTTTGCAATAGAAACTGGGTGTCCTTGAAGAATGCAGTTTATGTGCCAGAGCAGTGGGTTTCTGGGGCAGCACTGACAGCGGTGGGAGGTGAATCCC